AAGCACATACAGGCTGGATCTTCCATGAATTATTTTAGCAAATGTTCTTTCCCATCAAAGAAATGTGTCAGGTTAGTAAAACAGACACCCAGAAGGTAGCAAAGAAGGACAGAATGTCTAGGACATCACATAGAAAGAGCAGGCTTGGGGCCACCAGATCTCTAATTTCGCTGAAGGTTTTTCCTTTGAGCTTATGTTCTTGTGAGCAATGTTGACATGACTGGAGATCCTTCCTGCACTGGCCTGATGAATGCAAGTTAATAGTTTACATTCAGAACTCAGCTCAAATAGATCGATGGCAACATGTGCTTCAATGGTAACAGGCCTTCTTGGATTATGTCCCCCACCTACTAGGTGGTTGCTCCACCACCTGGTGTTTCTATGGCGATGGAGACATCACATCCCCATCATACTGATGGGGACACCTGCAAGAGCAGTGGCCACTTGTCATAAGTGAGTAGGGCTATGGATGTTCCTTTCTCTTAAATGATACAAAAATGGTTGTATAAGAATAGGAGTGTACCTAGTGAAAATGAAATGCTTTTTCTTTAAATAAAACGTGTCCTTTAGTCCTACTCCTATTCCACAGAGGAAAAGCTTCAAAATCATAGTCATCCCTAGTTAATCCCCTATAGCTTCATCCGCACCAGGTGGAGAGACAGGAAGCCTCTGTCTGCCAATGGCTACTGAGAAAGTTATCATCACCTACTAATCCTGGAGGATCTGAATACAATTACATTTTTAATCTGAGGGTTTAAAAGGAGAATATAAATGAAAGGCACAGATTCACTTGTATCCAGCATTCCAGAAGTGCAAGTTTAAAATGTCCTTTTGAATTTGCAGGCCCTCCACACTCTACATACGCCCTGTTCGTGATGTAGCAGCTCCAGGTAGGGTCCAATCGGCAAAGCCTGCATGGCTCGACCACCTCCTCTGTATTGGGCTCCGGACTGCCAGTCACCATGCCTAAAACCGGACCCTCTCCTTAACCAGTCTGTCAATTTGTCAGCTATTACTGAACTTGGCTGGTAGGAGGTAATCAACAAAACCCTTAGGTGCACGCCCACCCCTTAACTACTCTAACAGCAGCCCTCCATTATGTGTGCTAATGTTTCAGAAAGTGCTTTGTACATCAAAATCACTGGCAATTCTAGACCAGCCTAGCTCAGAAGTGTCTGAAAACAACGGAGTCTAAAATCCCACTGAGTTCCTCATCTCTGATCTCCAAAGCCAGCTGTATTTGTTAAAGTTTCATTTTGCTGAGAAGATAAATGGTCATAGACAGCTTTGCAATCCCACCTCTCATGCAGAAAAAAATAGCTATTTTCAGCTCTCTATTTCCTATGGAAGGTCCCCTGTGCTAGGATGTATGCATCTGTGAATACGTGAGCATGTGCCCATTTAAAAAAAAAAAAAAGATGACACTGAGTCTCCTGTCAAAATGAGGAATGTTTAAACACCTAGCTTTGTACAATGAGAATGGCAACTATCTATTTCTAGGATTGCATTGTCTTCAAAATCTATTTCAAAACCTTTCAAACACTCTCAGTTTTAACATCATTGAATCCTCCAACTAATCCAAAAATGTCACATTGTAAGCTGTTTTAGTCATCAGTGAGAAAATAGCCACATGGGAACAAATGAGAATCATGCCACTTAAATAACTAATAAATACACAGGCCTCAAAAGAAGTTACAGAGCTTTGGTTCTAAGATGAGGGGAGGGGAGTAGCTTTTCTCTTATCATTTCCATTTTGGGCAACTATAAGCTTTTACTTCCGTGGGTTTTTTTAAACCTCCAAGATTCTTATAAAACATCTCCAAAGATTCCTATACCTAAGAATGAATCTCTTGTCTTTCCTTTTATATTAAAACACAAGATGGCAGAAGAATGTGTAGGGCAGAGGAGGAGCTGGCACAGGAAATAACAGGAATTGGGAAGCTTGTAGCATGGTCAAATGGAAGAATTTGGTCAAAAGCCTGAGTCAAGCCGATCAGGAAACAGAGAGGACATTAGTAAATTGGGATGCATTGGGATTATAGCCGCATGGCCCTCCAGCAGGGTCAAATGCAAGGTGCACTTGCCCCTCCACTCCTTTGCAGCTTTGGAAGACTTGGATGATCTTCTACCACAACCAATACTTGACGAGTGTCAGGAGATGGGCTTCCCGGTTAACTCACAACCCACCACCCAGCATCTCAACTAACAGGATATCAGGTGTCTCTCTCAATTTCTAGATGCAATTTTGTTTTATCCTGAAGGTATTTCCTTCCTTCTCCAGCAGTGCCTTAACTGAGTGGAATCTTCTAGGGAGTCTCCTGCAGCTTTGGGGTAGCATTTTGGAAAGTAAAGCAATGGGGTATTATCCCTTTAAAGTATAATTCAATTAGGTCTTTTGTAATACATACAACATAACAAGATAGTCTTCTAGACTCTAAAGAAATTACGAGTGGATTTCATCAAATGCACAATAATGGAAACATCGATTCAATCCTCACCACAAGCATCTCCCTTTGATGCTGCAGTTACCTTAATACTAGCACTTTTCATTTTCTCTAGAAGGAAACAACTGCCTCCATGCATGCATATCAGAGAAGGCTCTAGTCTGAAATAACACATTTGTATATCAATCTCAACTACACTTGCATTTTCATTTGCTGCTGCATAGCATCACTCTCCTTGACTCTAAACCACTAAATTGCCCCCAAAATAAAGAAAAACTCTTCTGCAACCTGGATGACTGGGTCTAGGTGTTTTATGCCATCTATGCAAGTGTTGCCAGGGGCATCATCTGCCTTCTCACATCATTTATTTAAAAGAAGAATGACCAGGCACCAGTTAGAAACTTTATGGGCCTGAAGAACATTCAGCCACTTTATGCAAAAGATGTCAACAAGATAGACTACCTAAGGAATAACACATCTAGAAATACGCAGTGTGATTAGGAAAATCCATCAACACCCACTGCCACATTTCCAAATATTTTAACTAAATGAAAAAGCAGCCACCAAGTCTGAAAGAATTTTGAGTTCCTTATATCCACAAGGGCACTTCATGAGCAATGCCCCAGATGCTCTCAGTGCTGTGGTGACAGAAGCAGAGGGTGCTCCTAGATACCCAGGAGACATGCTGCACTTGCTTTATCAACCTCTTGGTACAAGAATTCTGTTGCTGCGAAACTAGCTTGTCTCTTAATAAACAAAAATATGGCTTGAGTTCCGAGCTTCATCCAAATAAATTACCATCCAACCATTTCACAACATTCGAATAATTTACTTTTTAAAATATAGCTTCAAAATATTTCTGGCTATACTAAGCGTCTAAACTCACAGCCTAGCTGACATTTGGCTAAGTCTTTCATACAATATCCACTTGATGCCATGAAAGAAATGTGTTTGCAATGGCTTTTGCTCTGCAAATGTCATGTGAGCATCCTTAGGGGATTGCATTAAGCACCTGGCACCCACCATGAGGCTCTGTTAACGAGACATATAAAGGTTATGTTGAAATTATTGTTTAAAGGTGCTGACATCACACACACACACACACACACACACATACACGCACGCACGCACACGCACACACACAATTCACAATCACATATTCATATATATATTGAAGACCAACTGTTTCAGGATTTAAGAGACCAGAGAGAAGAAGCTATTTGAACCAAGGTTATTCTGTGGATATCTCTATGCAAGACAGTGCTCATAATTATCTGTTTCCATTCACTGATTGATTCCACAATATTATTACACATAGTTTGGCATCAAGCACTGTGCTAAATTTCTTGAGATGGCAGGATATACAAAGAAGAATAATCTAAAGCCCCTTTTAGTAAGTTGACCGAATATAGAGGTTCATTACTACAGCATTTAAGCATTCATCCACTAATTCACTTACTTAACAGATATATCCTGAGCACTGATTTGGTACCAGGGACTATGCTAGGGACTGGTGAGTAAAACCAGACAGGGTCCTGTCTTCCCAGAGATTGTAAGCTAGTGATGAATGCAGATGATCCAAAAAGCACACAAATCAATATAAAATCTCAACTGTGACAAGTGCTCTAAAGGAGGCATGCAAATCACCATGCAAAAGAACATCAAAGGGGATTTGATTATGTCCGGGAGTTTAGGGAAGGTGTCCTGAGGAAGTGGCGCTGGATCTGACATCTGATGATGATGAGGCTCATGTTAGGGAAGGGGAGTCCAGGCACAGGAAAGGAAGCAATAGGCACAGCGAGGGTGAGATTCCGGTTTCTGAGTTTTCAACTAAATGGATGGGATTCCAGCAAGCTGGAAGAAAGCCAGCTATGTTAGGGGGTTCGTTCTGGGAATATGTTGAGTTGAGAGGCTTCTGAGGTACACAAGAGACAATGTCAAGTACACAGCTGAATATATAGATTTGGAGTTCAAAGAAGAGGTCTCATTGGGCCACTGCATCATTAATATAATTTTTTTAAATAAGAAAATGGACTTTTATGAGGCTTCCCTTCCATTGTTAAACTGAGAGTAATGATATAATCTACATTGACCAAATCAAGGAAGCATGGTATCATGGAATACACCCTAGACTTGGAATCTGACAGCATGCACTCAAAATCTGGATCCTTGAGCTACTAGCTTGGAGGGTTTGAACAAGCACCTTACCCTTTCTGCACCTTTGTTTACTACAGTCATTGTAAAATTATTATAATTACATATATCTCAATTCACAGGGTTGTTTTAAATAAGGTCAAATGAGTAAAATGGCAGAGAGAACCATTATGTGAAATGATAAACAGCATTACCAATAAATGAAATATACCTCCCGACATACTTTGATACTTAAGAGTGTAAAGGAAAGTTAGTTGCTACAGACCAAATCAATGATGGAAAATTTTGATTGGAATGATAAAATGTCATTGCGTCTCCTCCGAAATTCGGATTGAGCAAACAAGTGCTTTTCACAAGGTGCTACCTGGCAACCAGACGTGAATGAAAATAGTATGTGCTCACCTTTTGATCCAAACTGTAGGCCAGCACCCAGTCCTCTTGCTTGGGATGAAAGAGCAGGCTCTGAATGTAGAAGGTGAGCCGATATTTTTGATAGGTCGCCCCTTCGTCCGAGCTGATCAATATGCTGCTCTCCAGTTCAGGATCACTGAGAAGCATGATCTTAAAAAAAAAAAAGAAAGAAAGACAAAGGGGAAAACACAGAGTTAGTAGGAGAGAATAAATACAAGAAATTAAATCATAACTATAAAGTCATCTGTATGTGTATATCACAGCACATAAAAGGGCATCTGGGCCTCTGTATGAATTACTGATGCTCTATTTTTCCCGATTTAGTCCTTCCTTGCCAAATTGAGCTAAAACGGGGTGCAAGGCTAGGTCTGCATACAGAAGGAGGCTTCATTTTTGATGTCCATCTTTCAAGTACTGTGGACATATTCTCATGGTCCTCGCCCCCTCTCTCCCTGTTCCCCATGTCACTCTTGATCACAGTACCGTTCTTTAGCCGTGGGAAGACCCTCCCCACCACCCACAGTCCTGTTGTTCGTTTTCCTATTTCTGATTTGTTTTACGGATTTCATTGATTTAAGTGGTTTTATGATTCCCTTGTTAAAGATATTTTCCAAAGCCTATATCCCCAAAAATCCTTGGGCAAGTGTTGCTGCCACAGAAGGTTTATCATCTCCAAGTCAAGTGGACAGAAATGATGTCGTGAAAAGGCCTTGGCATCAGAGAGAGCAGGCTCACACCTCAACAGTTCTGCTAATACTGTGCCACCTTAGGAAAGTTACTTACCCTCTAGAGGCCTCAGTTCCCTTGACAACAACTTGAGTCTGACGATAGCCAAGCTGGCATTGAGCACACAGCATGATACACATTTTTGACAAGCGATAGCTATGATTACTATTTAAATTGCCTCTCCAGCCAGTGCAATCTGGCTTCTACTCACAGTATTTCCATGACATTGGTTTCACTAAACTTATGGTTGACTTTCTAGTATTCAAACCCCATAGATATGTAGACACTCAGACCTTTCCCTTAGTTAAACTCTCAGCAGCCTTTGACAACACCGACCACTCCATTCTTTTTGAAGCCTTCTCTCCCAAGGGCTTCCATAACACCATACTTACCTGGTTGTCCTTCTCATCTCTTTTGGGTCCTCAATTTTCTCTGATTATCCTTTAAATGTAACCACTCCTCAATCCTCTGTTTCGACCTTCTTCTCTTTTCACTCCATATACTATTACTCGGGGACCTCTTCCACTCCTGATGTCTTTTTACTTTTCTTAAATTACCGTCTTCCTGGGGACAACTCATGAATTAAAACTCTAACAGAGTCTCGGCTTCAGACTTGAAAACTCAGCTGCCCGGAAGATTTTTCCCTGTAGACACCCTGCAGTGCCCGGAACTCAATATGCCCTGTGGTGGTGCCTCATCCCTGGTGTCCCCTGGCTCTGTGTATGTTTCCACATGGATGTGGAGCAAAAAGCCCAAGATTCACCCACAATTCTCCTTTCTCACTCACCTCCTAAAATGAGTAAGTCTCTGAGCCCTGTGTATTTTACCTTCCAGTTAACTCTAACATCAAATCCATTCTCTTCTTACCTATTGTGATTGCCTCAAGCCAGAACATTCTTTCTCTGCTGGATGACTATAAGACACCCCCAGCCAGTCTCACCCTTTAGTCTTGTCCCCTCCAATCCACTTTGCACACTGTGGCCAGAACAATCATCCTATAATACAAATCTGATTCTGACATTCCCACCACTTAAAACCAATCAATGGCTTATCACTGATCTTCCTATATTTCAAAATCCTTAAAACAGCCTGAAAAATCTGCCCCCAGCTTATGTCTCTGGCTTTAACAAGAGTACAGCCTTTTGAACTTCACAATCCAGCTCAACTCAACTTCTTTGAGCTGCTAACGTTTGCTGAGTGACTGAATGAGCAAGTGAGTTTATCTCCTTTTGTAGTTTTTCCTATCTTTGTGTATGCTGCCACCAATTTTTAGGGGTCCTTCTATCACATGATCTTAACCATGGGGCTCAAAGTACAAAATAAGACCAAGAAATTTCCATACCTTATAAAATAAAACTGTTAACTAGCAGGATTTTAAAGACGTTACCCAGAGCATACATTAGTGTTATAAAGTTAGCTTTAAAACAAAATTAGGCCTTTTAACTGCTAAGATTCATAGTCTCCTCCCTCTTTTATTCATTTACGACTTCCAAGACAAGCTTACTTTCTTTTCTCAAATATTTGCTTTGGCTTCATTGAAATAAGTCATCGCTAGTTATCAGCATATTTTAAAGAAATGGATGCAGTATAATAATTTTTCTTTATTCATGTGTGAATAATCCAGGGAAACACTATTAGACAGGTTAGTCATAGACTGACTGACATCCTCCCGCCACGGTACTGCAAAGGGTAGTGGGAGCTCAGAAGCAGCCCAGATGCCCTTGAGAAAGCCCCAGACAAGGCAGCCGGGTGCTCTCAGAGGACAAATGTCCTGGGGAAGAATGAGGTCCTCATAACCTCATTCTTCTCATAACTTGCTTCACGTCATGTACCGATGGTCTACATAAGAGGCCATGAAATCATTTTTCCCCTGGTGTGGAAAAATTAAACAGCTTATTTTATGCAGGTATAAAAAAGCTTTATGCCTTTGATTTTAATTAGAAGATAAGACCAACATCATAAATGGACTTTATTTTATATACCACGAGTTACAATATACTGAATAAGGATTACCATTAAATATCTCACACAACGCGTTCTTTTCCTCTAGGTCTGCTTCTTTCTGTGCACACACAGACACACACAAACACAACTGCATAACACAAACACACCCTAATCCACAAACAACATATGGGCGCACACGTACGTTCACACATAGAAAAATGCTGCATTCTTGTGCACGTGAGCATAGAGAAATGAATTTACACACAGTAAACCATATTGACATTGTGTGGAGGTTTTATGGAGCTTTTGTTGGTGAGAGTACGTTTTTATTGCAACCTTTCTCTGACATTCTCATCAGAAATCCTTTTATACACTTTGATATCACTGGCAGTGTCTCTATTCAATCCAACTTTCTGAGAAGAATGAAAGGAAGTGAAATAGAAACCTACATATTTTGGATTTCTAACCTGTGCGGGGCATTTTACATTATTTTTAACAAAACCTCACACAAATCATGTGAAGTAAGTATCATTACTTGCATTTTACAGATAAGGAAACTGAGGCTCAGGAGGAAAGCAACTTGCCTATTGCCCCTCGGATTGACTCAAAACCTACCCTTTCACCCACTGTACACACACACATACTCACGAGCGCACACACACACACACACAGAGTCAGAGAAGCAGGCTGTCATCCTTTTCTAAAGCATCTCTAAGAAATCCACCAAAAACAACAGCTTCAAGAAAGTCCTCTACTTCCTCACTTATCTCTACCTCTGACCAAAGGGATATCAAGAATTAAGTGAATAGGAATTCAACAGTGAAATATGTTAGTTGCTGATACTCAAAAATTGTTAAAAAGGAGGAGGCCATAATATTAGCATAAATATAATCAGAGAGCAAATAACTTTGTCAGAAGTTAAGCCTCAAGGTAAAATATGTGAATTTATATTCATATGCCAAATATATAAAGAAAATCATGCACGCCAACCCAACTTTTATTGTTAAGCAGGTATTTCAAATTCAAATGCCCACGGGGGGCAAAGCAGGTGAAGCGAATGAGAGAAGCAAAGAAAGCAAAATCAGGCGTGATGTGTCAAACTGGAAAGTCACATTGTGGGTCAAAATACTTAAAAAATTGGATTTTAAAAAACACGTGCCCAAATTAAATATTACCTATGGACTGAATTTATGGACGAAGCATATGACTCTTGGTAAAATTACGATAGCTTGTTTCTATAAAAACAAAGAAATTTAGCATCACTACCTTTCCATTTTTAATTGCAGGTACACAATTGTATAATGTATGGCAATGGACATTTAGGTGCCCTTGAGTTCTGCATTGACATGATTTTGACAATATGAATGGGGCAGAGATCACACTGCAGATTTTTGTTTTGATTTGTTTTGCTTTTCCTTCAAGCTGCTTTGATATTTACCAGCTTTTCCTGACATAAGATCTGCAGTGGGCGTAGGTGTGTTCTGGAAGAAGAGGAAAACTATTTCAAATATGGTTTAGCAGATAATTAACGGTATAACCTCTAAGTGCAGATGTCTTGAGTTCAACCCTCAGTTGAATTCTTCATGTGTAAACATGAGGAAGTTATTCAATTTTTCCAAATCTGTTATCTAAAGAAAAAGGAGATAGAAAGATTGTATCTACCTCATACTACTGTTGAAAGGACTTAATGACACAATGATTTAAAAGGCTTAGCACGGTGCCAGGAACATAACTGCTAAATAAATGTTAACTTTTACCCTTAAATCACCCAGGATTAGAGAACAACTAAAGTCAGAAATGATGCCAAGCATGGTAGAGACAAAGATGATTTGGAGATTATCTGCCTCCCTCTTGACCTGCCATCATTCCAGAGCTTTGCAGATAAAATTGAAAGGGGTAGGGATTAGGGTAGGTATTGTTTCTATAAAAACAAAGAAATTTAGCACCATTACCTTTCCATATTTAATTGCAGGTACACAATTGTATAATGTATGGCGATGGACATTTAGGAGTTGGGGAGTTGTTGTTCAATGCTTATAAAGTTTCAGTCATGCAAAATGAAAAAGTTCTATTAATCTGCTATACAACAGTGCATGTATAGTTAAAAGTACTCTACTGCACACTTGGAAGTTTGTCAACAGGGTAAATCATAAATCTCATGGAGTGTGTTTGTGTGTATAAAACATACAAAAGGGTTAGGGAGAAAAATTGCTATATTTTATATTTCACATTCATTTTACATGCATTTTGTATTCACTGTAATATTTTAAGAAAAACACACTCTATTAGCAAATATTAATACTGCCAGAGTGAACACCAATTAGTAGATAATTGTTAATTTGCTAAACTACAATTGCTGCTTTGAAAGACTACTCTTTTTTCATTGGGAGGTTCTAGCTCATGACAGAACTAAATGTGCCACTGTCTTAGGGATGAGAACCTCATACCACCAGTCCCTACTGATTTGGCCATTCCGTGTA